AAATGTGAAAAAAACAAATTTTCAAAATAAATTTGATGGTTCAAAAGATGAACATGTCTTTTCTGGGATAATTTAATGCACTATAAGAAAGTGTTAATAAATTTTTATAAACATGTTAAATCAATCTAAGGATAAATGTGGCAATTTAATATAATGACTGAGATCCACAAACCCTATTTTGCATGTAATTGCAATATTGTAATGGTACAGTGCAATCATCATGTCAGTATTCTTGCGTATAAATTCTGAAGTATTTCACCAAAACCATCTACTCTGGCCAATTTATTTACTTTACTGTAAAATTCATTTTATCCGGAAGAATGCAGAAGACTTTTTGAGGTCCTGTACTTGCAAATGCTCACATATCAGGTCATTTAATGGTCACTTAAAATACTGAAGTGCATAAATATGCAGCACTGGAATTTGCAAAGCTTCTAAATTCCTACTTCTATGTATATAGTTAAAAATTCGGGATTTTACCTCTGACTTCCTTTAAGCTTTCTGTAACAGAATTCTGGTCAATATGCTGACTTGGAAAATACTTTCTTTCCAGTTATGGAAATTTATGCTTAATATTAGATGCCAAGTCAAAATTCTGTCTGGGATTTAGTTTCAGATTCAGATGCAGGCCTCTAAATTGGGTTACAGAGCTAGTATGAATTACCTAGATAAGAGAACAAAACATATGGCCTTAATGCATTTGTCCACAGTTGAGTCTCTGCTGCCATCTGATATGTCTCTGGGCTTTTGAGACAATGGCTTCTGGTGCAGATGTGATGGAGAGTCTGTGGGAGCTCCTTGCCTGGCTGGGGAGGTGGCAGTGGTGAAGAGTCCTGCATGAAGGGAAATATATTGACATCCCCAGGAGAGTATGTTGGGATGATACCATTTAGATTGTGACATTAGACTGTTGTCCTGGAAGCTATGAAATTCCAAGAGAATAACAGGGCTCTCAGCCACAGTATTCTCTATCTGGACTACAATTTGCAATATAAAAAAAATGTGGTCAAGGCTCTAGTGGCACCAGCCAAGTGAGTTTAGTCCTATTTTCAAAGGTGACATAACACTTTTAGGTTGAGGATTTTGCCATTGTTGTACAGTGCCCTACTAGAGATTCTTGAGTGGTTTGCAAACAAGCTGGCAGGCTGGGACAGCACAGCCCTTTTGGAAACTGACACCTAGGGTCTTGAAACTTTAGGCAGACACGTTTTAAAAAATATTCTTCAATAAGGAAGACTTAACCAGAAAGTGTAAATATTTTCTGAAAAATGTTTTGCTAGAAGAATACTAGTGATGCCTGCAAAATAGAAATTGGGAAATTGAATATTCTTTTTATTTTACTTTCCTTTTTGTAAATAATATTAAGTGCACTCTGTAAATATTACTAAAATAATACCCTTTAATATTATTAGAACTGGTTTGTGATGCAATGTTTCCATTTTCTACCAGAACTTAAAAGCTTTGTACAGAAGACTGGCTTAGTATAAATAAATTGAATATATAAGACCTACACCTTTTCATCACAAACTGACTCCTTTATTGCAATCACATCAGCTGAGTCATAGTACAGTGTTACAGAGCACACTCTTGAGTATCAGATAGCAGACTAATATACTGCAGATTGCATTAATCTTTCATGTTATCTTTTCCTCTCTACTCTTTCTTTCCTATTTTTTGTGGTTTTGATTCTATGTTTGTTTTCATTGTTTCATAAGAAAGATTAGCTTTACAGGACACAAACTATAATTATGTATACACATGCCTCCTATGTCTCATTTACCTATGACTGGTGTTTGAACTCTTAATTTCTTTGCTAGATTATATACACTTAATAAAAAATAGTTAAAAAAAACCCCAGCCTTAACTGATTTATACGCTTTTGTGCTCAGAACAAAGCTCAAGAGCACTTGGCTATGATATTAAACATGTAGTCATGGATGAATAAAGACTTCCTTAGTCGGCACACAATTGGATTTTAATATCTTAAGCCCCTATGCATCAACCTACAGAGCAGCAGCAATGTCTTTTGTATAGAAGTTTCACAGTTTCATAGTTAAGATATGTACCTAACAAATACAATTGGGATTGAAAAGTTATCTCATAGTCTAAGGAAGTTTACTGACCATGAAACTGTCTGTCAGCTGAAGACAGAAAAAAGGCAGTAAAATGGTTAATACCTTATCTCTCTTGTTGAAGTTAAAATATTTTGTATCTACAAATGAGAAAGTAATGGTGTCTGGAAGGAGAGGAAGCACCAGGAACCCTGATTTTGAAGTTTACTCAGTTTTCACTGCTAACAATATGGAAACTGGTTTTACAATTCCCAGTGACTGAGATAAACAATCCCAGTGTCAGCATGTCTTATACCAGCAGAGTGCTCTTTCCTCTTTGCTTTTGGGTTTCATTTTCAATCTTGTTAGAATGACTTCAGTTTTTAGGTGACCAAATGTTCTACTGCTGTAGTTTTTGAAAGACAGCTGTCCAGATCTAGATGGGTATTTCAATATCAGCAGTGAAGAGTCAGGTTTCATAGTCATCCACTCAGAGTGCAGCTGAGGTTGTCAAAAATCTCTGGAGGTTCCTTAGTCAAATCCACCTGCTCAAAGTAGGGTACATTAGAGCCACTTGCACAGAGTCTTGTGTCCAGTAGGACTTTGGCCACCTTCCACAAGCTTTCTTGACCGCTGTTCCAAGTGTTTGATTGTGTTTGCAGTAAAAAAAAAAAAATATTTCTTCTTCTGAAATGGAGTTTCTTGTGTTTCAGTGAATCTCATCCTGTCATCTGGTGACAGTGTGAGGAATCTGGCGCCATCTTTTTCATTCCTTCCCATTCGAACTCTTTTAACTAGGCAATGTTGGAAGCTTTTAGACTGTAGACTGTACAGCACTCTTAGATAATAAGTTTGTTAAAAATTATTGTAATTCTGCTCAAATACAATCATCTTTTCAGAAAGGCACAGCCAAAAGCTTGAGAAAAATCTTAAACAGTCTTACAAAAAGTCATGCCTTGTCTTAAAAATTAGAAAAAAAAGATTAAGGATCCTAGAACAAAAAAGTATCATTGAGAATACCACACTATTAATAGACCTTGGTGTTTTAGTCTCTGTACTCTAATGTCAGGCCATGCAAGAAAGCTGCATTTTTAATGCATTACAAAGAGAGGTGATATCTATCAGTATTACATGACCAAAGTCACAATGTTTTTTATCCAGAAGCCAATACCCTCTGTTCTTTCCTGAGACAAAAATAAACCTGAAGATCCTGGGAAAAAAATTGAAAGAATTTTCCCTTGAGCAAATGGACTCTCCAAAACAAAACATATTCATGAGTGCAGAAAAAATATATGGATATTTCCACTAAAATCCACTGACATGGAGATAGATGGTAAGTATTCCCAGGGCAGAGAGAATCAGAAAGCCATAGAAGAAAGAAAATGCTTGACTTGCTTGAAACACATATGTGTTTAGGAAAAATAAGCACAGTCTGGAATACAGTCATGGTAATAAGATGAGAAGGTGATCAATTACACCTAAATAGATTGCTTGGAAAAGGGTTATTGTTTTTTCTATGTGTATTAAGAGAGTGATTACCAAAGGGAAAAAAAAAAAAAAGAGTTAGTTAAACTAAAGAAAAATCCCTTTGAAAACTGAAATGAATCTAAGATTATGTAGCAAATAAATCCTAACTCTTTTTGCAACAGGACATTGTTGTTTCTCCTCTCACAGTGTGATCTGAATGCTTAATAGTCATATTCTGTCTCCTGTTAGTTAGGTCATTAATGAAAGTGTACAGTGAGGTATACAAGCTACTTATGTGCTTAAAATTAATTGGGCACATAAATGTTTGCAAGACAGATTCCTTTGTGGTACATTAGTCACAGAGGTTTTTGGCAATTTTATACTTTTTTAAGCAGTTGAAACTTTTGGGGTTTTTGTTGGTTGGGGGTTTTGTTTTGTTTGGTTTTTTATTTTCAATAAAGCCATAAATTGCAAAACAGGCTTTTTAAACTTTTCTGATATTCTCCTTTTCTGATCTATTTGAAAGTGTATATAAATTTTATCTGCAAAGTTTGGAATTTCCCATTAATAATAATGAAGAAAAAGAAAAGAACAATAAATTGTTTGAGAAGAGCCTGGAATTTTTCACTGAGACTTATTCAATAGAGTAGAAAACTGAGCAAAGATATAAACATCAAACAAATGAAATTTTGATTGTCATTTATGAGGAGAAAACATCTGTAATGGATAGAACAAGCAATCTTGAATGTTAATATTCAGACTTTAATGAGTAAACAGATATTTCACCATCTTGTAAAACAATAGTATTATGAGCTCAGTCTGGTTAGAACTACTCGGGTGCCTAAAGACAGCCTTAAGTGTTTTTCTGGATCAGGCCAGAATGGTCAGCACCCTGCCAGATTAATTCTTGGAAGAGTTTACGAAAGATAGTGTGAAAACTTCTTGTGCATAGCAAGAAATCCAAAACAGTGACCACACAATGTGTATTGACAACAGGGTGAGCCAAGTTCTTGAAGAGAATGATCTGAGGTACAGAGTGTCAAAGAAAAAAATGATTTTTCATCTTTTTTTTACTGGAAAAATTTTTGTCCTCAGTGACAGTTGAATGGGTTCCAGGCCAAAGCTGAGTTCCAAAACTTTTTTTTTTTCTGTAAAACATCAGGTTTGAAAACCCACTTCCATTTGCAAAAGTTGGTGAATGAGCTCACTTGTGGTTGGGTTTGTGGGAAATGCTAATGTAAAGAAAATCAACACTTTCTCTCATAAAACAGTGTAAAAAGCAGGGACTGTGTCTAGATGTATGGAAACTGCTCAAAACTGGAAGAACTTTGAAATAACTTGCCTGTCTTGCTGGCTTGATAACCCCTTTTTCATCAGAAGAAAGAATTTGCATGTACTGTTCACATTGCAGTGTTTTCAAAAAAATGTTTTACACTTCTACTTATACTTCTTGCATTACATCCCCTTCTTTTCTCCCCACAGGATGGGTGTTATGCTGGTTCTGTAATATGGCATGAGGATGAAATCTTCCACCTTCATGAAACATTTTGCTTTCTCCTCGTTGCCATTTGTGTGGGATCGCTGAAACACTTGCAGACCATTCAAGGCCAGGTTGGATGGGACTCTGAGAGACCTGGGCTAGTGGAATGTGTCCTTGCCTATGGCAGGGGGGTTGGAACTGAATGATTTTAAGGTCCTTTCGAACACAAGCCTTTCTATGTGGTTTTAAGGACAATGGGATCCTTGGTCAAGTCCCTATTTGCTGGTAGTTGGTGACTCTTCTACATTCTTCCTCCATCCACATTTCATCAACCCAGTTATGCTTTAATTAGTCTTCATTATGTATTTACTATCCAGCCACTCAGACAAATTCTAATTTCCTTTTGGCTGTGTTTGGGATGGAGTTAATTTTCATCACAGCAGCCTGTGTGGTGCTGTGCTTTGGGTTTGTGGCTGAAACAGTGTTGGTAACACATTAGTGTTTTGGCTTTTGCTGAACAGTGCTTGCAGAGCATCAAGGTTTTCTCCCCCCTTGTTTACCCCAGTGAGAAGGCTGGGGTAAGGCAAAATATTACAAGGAGACACATCTGATCCCCACTGACCAGAGGGATATCCCATATCCTATGCCATTGTGCCCAGAAATAAAAACTGGCAGAAGGAGGAGGAAGGGGACGTTGTGGCATTTGTCTTGCCAAGTAACTATTGTGTGTGCAGAGCCCCTGCTGCCCAGGAAGAGGCTGGATGTGTGCAAGCCTAAAGGAAGTAATAAATTCATTACTTTGCTTTCTCTGTTAAACTGTTATCAACTCAGTCTGTGAGTCTTCTCACCTTCCTTCTACTTTCTCAGCGTTGTAGGGGAGAGGGGAGTTGACTGACTGAGTGGGTGGGTGTTTGGGAGCTAGCCAGGGCCAACCCTGGCTAGCTAATTAATAAATCTTCGCTAATTAATAAATGAGTAGGAACACTTTCACTGTATGATAATCTATGAAATGTATCATTTGCATTGACCATGAAAATATAATTCACCACAAAGTGTGTAAAATCTGGAATTCTTTTTTTTGTTCATTTTATCCATCTTTGTTCTTTAATGTTTAAGTTTTTTATGTGTTTTCAAGTCTGTAGGAGAATTTTATGTTGGCAAAACTGCAGCAATTTCACAGGCTCCAACCTCAGACACATATTTCAGGTTTTCAGAGTTCTTTCACCATGTACAGTACATCTGAAGGCCTTGTCAGTTTGTATCCAATTTTACACATTTTTGCTCTCTCTGGGTAGACTTTGGCCTATTTTACAAGAAGAGTTAGCTGATCTTGTCTTTGAAGTCTGGAAGCACTGCTGCAGAGATTGGCTGTTAAAGGAAGGAGGCACAGTGCCTGCTGTAAGTGGATTTCAGTCCTCATTGATCTCTAACATTTGCAGAAAGCAAATAATCCTGGTAACATGGTTGATCAGTTCAGGGTAGTCTTTAAAGCAGATCCATACTGATAAAAGCAGAGGTAAACTCAGTTAATTGTGTATGTATCCTGTATTTACTCAGCTCTGAATATTGCAGTGGTTATTTGTGAAGGTAATGAATACTGAGACTTTTTGTAAATAAGCCTCCAACACCTAATTAGTGTTCCTTGTAGGAACTTGTAGTACATATCAATTGAGAAGCCAAAAATAATGGGAATATCTGTAGTTTTCTGACCTCCCTGAATTCTGTGGTAACCTGAAAAGCCAAATATTAGAACATTGTTGCACAGTATTGTATAAGGCACTGGAATTGTCAACTTCTTTACATGCCAAAATAACTGCTCTACCAGTGACATTTTGGTTGTTGCAGGCACCCATCAGTAATCAAGGAAACACCAATAGCAAATCCTCATGAACAGAACAATAATTTTGACCCCAGCAGGGCCAGTGATTTACTGATTTAATAAATTGAATTATTTAAATATTTAGTTTAAACTATTAAAAAAATTAAATAATTTAAACAATTTAAATATCATGAGATTAATTTAAGAGCATAACATAGGCAAGTCTTCCTTTTGGAAGCTCTGGATCAAACACAACATTATTAATTCTTTGGTCAAGCATTGTGTGATGCAATGAAATGTAAATTTGCTCCCTGTACAAAAACCAGTGTAAATAAGAAAAGATGATGGGTTGTGGTAGTAAAGAACTCCCTTCTGGGAGGTACAGGAGCACCCATTTCCTGGCCTGATGTGCTCTCTAGAGAGGTATGCTGCTTACCGGGGGCTGGTATCAGGGACGTCACCGAGAGACTGCCAAGCCTTGTAGAGGACACAAAGCATTATCTGCTGCTGTTGTTCTGCATGGACATAAGTGGTACAGGCAGGAGCAGGCTGAGCACGATCAGGAAGGATTGCAGAGCCCTAGGAATAACAGTGAGGAACTTTGCAGAGCTGCTGTTTTTTTCATTGGTCCTTTTGGTCACAAGGACTTAGTCACAAGGGTTTGAAAGGGCCAGTAAGATCTGGTTGATTGACAAATGGTTACAGGATTGGTGCCACAGCTAGGGGTTCAGCTTCCTGACCACAGGAGTTTGAGATCTATGGGGTGGTGAGGAGGGCACACTGCAAACTCAATACCCCGGACTTCAGAGAAGCAGGGATCTGCTTGGTTATGTACCTTGGGATAGAGACCTGAAGGGAAGAAGGGCATAAGAAAGCTGGACAGTATTCAAGGATCACCCCCCACAAGCTCAGGAGCAATGGATTCCAGCAAAGTAATAGTCAGGCAAAAGCCCTAGAAGGCCTGTGTGAATGAACAAGGAGCTCCTCTACAAACTCAGATGCAAAAAATAAGTGTACAAGAGGGAGGAAGCGAGGACAAGTAGGCTGTGAAGAACCTAGAGAAATTTTCTGAGGACCAGGGATCAGGTTAGGAAAGCTGATAGAATTAAACCCACCCAGGGACACTGAGGGCAACAAGCAAAGCTTCTTTGCTTGTAGGTACCTCAGTGATGAAAGGAAGACTAGGGAAAATGTCAACTCTCTCTGGAAGGAAGTGAGAGACATGGTCACCCAGGATGAGGAGGAGGTTGAGATACTCAGCAGCTCTTGGTCTTCATCGACTTGTGTTCCAGCCACACTGCCTGAATTCCAGAATGCAAAGGCAGGGATTGGGAGAATTAAGAACCACCTGCTGTAAGAGATGATCATGTCTGAGACCATCTAAGAAACATTAAGATGCACAAGTCCATGGAACAGATGAAATTCATCCACAGGTCCTGAGGGAACTGGAGGATGAAATCACTAAGCCATTACCCATCATATTTGAGAAGTTGTGGCATTATGGCAGAGTTCCCACTGACTGCAAAAGGGGAAACATAACCCCTGTTTTAAAAAAAGATAGAAAAGGAAAACCTGGGAATTACAGGCCAGTCAGTCTCACCACTGTGCTTGACAAGGTCGTGGAGCTTGACTGAGGCAATGGAATTCAAGGAGTTGATTTGTGACAGCCACCTGTGTGCTTCCCATGCTTACACTGGAGGATAACATGAAGAGTAGGATTAATCTTCTGTAATTTGAGGGGTAGAATTAAAATTGCTTTAAATTCAGAAGGAATTTCAAATTCAGAGCCTAAACCTAAATAACTGTCAACATTTGTGCATCTTCATGTGAGCTGAGTGTCTAAGATTCCCTTGCTAATGATGTAGGCAATTGTTTGATTGCCAAACTATAAATTCCTGATGCCTGTGACAGATGGTACCCAAGATGTCCCCCTGGAGCAAGCAGTGTACAATAGACCCATCTGGAGGCCAGAGAAGGTTCTATAAGACATATGAAATGGCATGGGACTCCTTTGTATTAACTACTGCCATATGCCATAGAGTTAGATGAGACAGATCACTTTCTATGGAAAGAGTATTTAGAGCAAAAGGAATTTTTGTGGTCTGCAGTCCTAAAGAGGTGGCTAAGACCTTTCTGTTTTACACAACCTACAGGGAAACTGTCAAATGGCAATAAACAGTAGCCAAAAATTACTTTGTTTATATTCTCAGGTATCCCTAGCTCTGGTGTAATGATCCCGTGTGGGGATTTTTCTTTTTCAAAGGAATGTTACATTTAATTATATATTGTCTTTTCATAATAACTCCTCCCATTACTATTATGATCATACAGTCCCTTCAGGATTTGATGTCTTCAGCAAAACTTTATGTCTCTTGCAGCAGCAAGTGGGTGGGTTGCATTACCTTACCTTTTGACTGCTGACCCAAACTATTTACTGTTGCTCATTGTGTGCTTGATAATCACCATAACAGCCATAAATATAGTAGGTCTGTATTCTTAGGAACTTATGGTATGCAAGAATAAGGTCAAGGAAAGAAGAATTTGTGGTGCTCAGTTTGGCAAGTATAGCTTTAGGTAGTTTATCTACAGAAATTCCAAGAAGTTGCACTGGAAAACATTAAATGCTGCTTATGATGCCAAGCTTTACCTGGAAATCTTGTTTTTTTAGAAAAGAAAAGATAATAGTGTAATTTCAAAAAATTCCCGTAAAGTTATAATACAGCTACATTCTCTGACTCCATGAATCTTCATAGTTTTGCTCATACATAATACAGAAGTATCCATAACCATCTTAAAACACAAAATCCATCATAGAGTGCATCTCTGAGGAGGAATATAATCTTGTTATGTTTAAATCTGTAATATCCTAAGGCTTTTTTTCCTTTTTCACAAGTATGGGAAGAGATTAGAAACTCAGGCATGGAAACAAAGCAGCTCCATGCTGTTTCTAGTCTCTTTAAAGGCAGCCAAGTGCAGAAACAATCTTTGCTGAGAAGGAACAAGTAGCAATGACTCTTCACTACACATTCTACTTTTAACTTTGTAGGTATCTATAACATATTGGTTTTTACCTTGTTAAAATATGTTTTGTAAAGATTCTGCTGTGAATCATTAATTTATCCTAATATTTTTATTATCCTTCTAATAGTCTGCGGCTTCCTTAAAGGAGAGCAACCGAAGGCCTACAAGCTTTGAAAAAAACAGTTATGAAGAAGATTCTTATTGATACTATGGGGTTTTTTGAAATACTGATGTTTGACATAAATGTTACAGAGTTTTGTGAAATAACAAAATACAAAAAATATTTAAAGAAGCCATAGATGCTTCCAGCTGAGTGCTAGGGCATCCTGACCGCAGATCTGGAACTACAAAAAACAAGTCATAAACCTCTGGACCTTGGAATTAAGAAATCTGGCTCAAAAAGGCAAAACCTATCTCTTCATCCATAGTTAAGAGTTACGCCTTTTTCACAATTGTATATGCAGAAGAAAGACACATTTTGTTGAATAAATGTCAGCTTAGGACAATAAACAATGCTTACCTGAAGCAAAAACAACTGATGCAGTTGGAAAAGTGTGAAGGACATTGAGGAATAAAATGATCATCAAGCTTGAGACAAATGCAGAAAAGGCAAAAATGAAATGCAGAAAATAAATGTGTGAAAGATAACCAGACCTCTGGTGCTTTCCTCATCTGATTTTGTTTCCTTTGTTGCCTTTTTTTCATGCTCCCTAATGCCAGTGTGTGTGTACAGCAGAAGCTGAGGTACAGTGGAGAACCTGGAGAAAAAAGACAAGAAAGGAAAATAAGACAAAACGGATAAAACTGGACATGAAGAAAAAGAAAATGGTATAGATGGCACTAACAGAAAAGAAGTCAAGTAGGAATCAGAAGGGTGAAAAGATGATTCACACAGAATTATGCGTAAGGGGAAGGAACATGGTGGAAAGAAGAGAGAATCTGCGAAAGGAAAAGATGAAACTAGTTACTGATAAAATGGGAACAATTTAATTTTCTAGGGTGTAAGGGAGAAAAAAAATCAACCCAAAACATAAAGGAAAAAGTAGGTAGGGTACCATTAAAGAGGAAATGGAATAGCAAAATAGAAAAGAGTAATTGCGCAGAAGCACTAGAACCTGCTTGAACACCTGCAAGTCGATGGAAATTGAATAGACAATTGTATCAAAATTGCCAAAGTATCGGTCGGGGACCACACTTGCTAAGTATCAGCTCCTTCTGATGGTGCCGTTCCTTCCTTCCTTGCTCCTAGACAAGAAGTGTATTTTATGAAACAAGGTTTCCAATGTACCACCTTGCAATTCTTCCTCCTCATCACCAGAAGCATTATTCTAGTTATTTGCTTTTGTATTTTCATGCCAATAAGACAGTCAGGTTTCTGTAAACCTGCCAGGTGGTCTTCTGTCTAAAATTCTAAGGCAGAGAGTTGATGAATTGGGGAGGACTAATAAAAAAAGGAAAAATATGGCAGTTCTGATTTCATTGCATATACTTCCCACCTCACTTCTAGGAGGCTGGCTTAGATCTGAACTGTGGTGTTGGGGCCTTGTTGGTGTTTCATGCCAAAAAAACCCAGTAGTAATTAATATCAGGCTGCACTAGGCAAGTGGTAAAATGGATCAGTAGGTAGAAAGAGCAAAATCAATTCTAGTGTAGAAAGCAATTCCTCTAAACAGGAAATCCTGTGGAGAGAAATACCATTGTTCATAAATTGTTTCTCTCTCTTAGCTAATTACAAAACAGTTTTTTAGTGTGGTTAGGCCTCAGCTGGCTAGGATACAAAATCTGGTCATGTGAAGCTTAATGAATTAAAATCACAGTTTTCTTGTCTATTTGGCTTGCAAAATTTCCCCATATTTCTCTTGTTAAAATGAAAAAAGCAAAAAAAAAAGCTTCTTTTTTTTGTAATATTTTGTTTTATGTTGATAGCAATGAAATGTTTTGGTGAGTCTCTATGCTGTCTTTTATCACTGATTCCAGCCAATAAACTATGTATGACTTCAACAGATGTTTCTTCTGCTACGAACAATAAGATGTTTTGAAGTCCTCAGAAGCAAATTAAAATAAGAAGGAGAAGTTTTATGGAAATGAGAGACATTTTTCCATGAAGATTAAAAAAAAAATAACCTTTGATGTCCTATTTAGGCCTAATAATAAAAAGCAGAAAGATGTTCAGGTAAAGACATAACTCTGCGTAGGAAGAAACATCCACAACATTCACAATTAGTCACAGTTAATGTTAAATCTGGACTTTAGATGCATCATGCCAGATTTTCCTTCAGTGTGACCGTAACTATGACTTTGATAAAGCTGGATGGACTGTTTTATATCAGGTAGGATCTGCCCTTCTGAGTCATATTGTGAACAAGAAGAAAAGAAGGAACAAAACTTGAAGAAGGATTAGAAGATGCCTGGTTTATATCTCATTTAAATTCCTGTTGGTTTTCCAAAGCATCATGAAAGTTTTTGCATTTTGTGATGCTGTATGCAGCACTGCTAAAAGTATCTGTAATGTAATTCTTCTTTAAGTAGAAATTATTTTGATTCAGATGTTAGATACATATTCAGATGTAGAAAAATGCTCATAGTATTTCCTTCTCTTTTCCTCTCTGGGCTAAGCTGAAAGGTTTGCTATCTTTATCCATTTCTGTAATATTTTTTGGCTTGGAAAGGTGCTTAACTGTCTTATAAAGAGATTTTGAAGCCTTGGAAATGCAGAGAAAAGAACCACCAAATCAAATCCTGTATTCAGTGTTCAGGGGACTTAGAGTTGAAACTACACAAAGTTAATGCGTTTCTGGTAGCATTACTTATCTTGTCCATAAGAGGACAATACTGGAGAATGTCATCTAATGATGTTCCTGATGTTCAGGAAAGCAGCAGTACATGTGAAGCGACCAGTCATACTCATAAAGCTGGGGACAAAATTCTGCTAGAAAAAGGAATGATCCCAGAGACAGCACAGAGGAGACGAAGGAGGAGGTGAAAAGGTTTCATTAGTCAATTTTGCCAATTCCCATACAGCTGAGTTCCAACCAACAGCTTTTACTTTGGTAGAAACTTTGATCTATAGGCCAAATTCCAGAGTAGGGGTGGAACAGTGGTGATGGACTGTATAAATGGGATTCATGGGACACCAGATATGAGATCCCACGTGACTTTCAGTTCAGGTGGAAGGTGTGGCTTTTCTGTAGTTCTGTTTAATACCTGTCAGAAGTTTCAGATATCTAAAATGGCATCTAAGATGGCTTCTGATGCCAGGGTCTCATCAGAGGATCTCGATTCATTTTCTTCCCAGCTGCTGCTGCTGCTGCAGAACATCCATCACTGTGTGGTCATCTCAGACACAACAAACCTAACGTGGCAGCAGACACATGTGGGCAAATGAAAGAAATCCCAAAAAAGTGACCATGTAATTCAGCTTTATGACAGTGTTTATTTTCAACAAAGAGGAAAGATTACCTCCTCTCTCCTACATATGTCTGTTGGGATGGGATGAATGGATACTATGCCCAAAGGACTCTTATGCTCCCCAATGGTAACAGATACCTTTGTTTAAGAAACCAAATCCTACCCTAAGTGTGCCAGGTGAGTTGAATTACTGTTTCAGTGCCACTGACTGTACTGCTTAATCTAGAAATTCAGATTATAATGGGAATATTATTCTTTCCTGACTGACCTCCAGCTGCTGCTCTAGAAAACTGTTGGTGATACATCAGAGCTGCCAGTTCTGTGGGTCCCTTACTGTCCCCAACGTGTTCAGCCCCTTCACCCAAGTATATGACATCTAAATTCAGGTGGCTGAAACAATCTCCTAATATGACATCTAAATTCAGGTGGCTGAAACAATCTCCTAATATTTGTTACTATTAGAATTAGGTGAGAGATATTGTAGCCTAAAGAAATATCTGTACATAATTACTTAAAAACAAAAAAGTATTTAGATCACAGAACCTTTAGTATTTAGATATGCCCTTCTGATTCTAACTTAGGCCATGAATGATATTCATATGAGATATTACTCAAGGTATTAAATAACTGAAGTCACCACTGTTTCTTGGTTACTATGTTAATAACTATATTAGAATGTAATACTATCATACCTAACTATAAAATTGTTCATGGGGCTTATTTATTGATTTCTATATCTAATCATATTACAGGTATAGGTAGGAAGGTATCATTTTAAACCCTTAACAAAACAAATAAATAACTGCCTTGATCAAAGACACTTCCTGAAGGAAAAAAAATTCAGAACATATATTCAGAATTGAGCTATAATTGGTTGAAATAAAAAGACATCATTATTTTTAAAATCTTATTATTTTTATTATTTTTGTTGTAATTATCTTCATCATTATTAGATTTCCTCAGTATTTTTTGCATAGCATTAAAATCTGCTCTCAAAATTCTTTAGGCTGGTTCAATAATTTTTCATCGACCAGAAGGAAATTTCAAATTTTTGAATACAGTGGAATATTCTGAAGATTTATCTAGAGAGCTAATCTGAATTTTTTGGTTTCTCTATTAAATTAAACTAGTAATATACCCTCAGAGCTCCAGCACAGATCCCTGTTCTTAAATTACACTTCATGACAATCAGTCAATATTTATTTAATGAATGTCTATCTGTATCTGACTTAGTATATAAGCATATAGCTTGTAAGTTTGCAGAATTGTATACAAATCCAAATCAAACAGAATTAGTTAATTTTTTATTGCAATAAAATATTGCTAAACTAATTTGGAGGTGTACTGTCTGGAAAGAGGCCAGGAGAAACTCTTCAAAATTGCACAGTGAAATCATAAGAGTTTTCAAAAGGTTATGGGTTGTGATTCTACAAAGAGATATGGATCTAAACATGCAAAAGGGGCTCTAATCATGGCTGACTGAGTTTGAGGAAATGCCATCTTGTTTTGTGTTTTGTAAGTTGCAAATTTTCCCAATATTTTTGCCTTTTTTTCAATAACTCAGATTCTTACTGACAGCCTTTTAACAAGTAACAGTTGCTGTCCTTAAGATAAAGCTTTTCCTTAAGCAGGAAAAGTACCATTTGAGAACCAAACAGGTATAGAACTCTGAAGAAGTCTGAATGTTTACTGAATGCATTTGAAAAACTTTGTCCTGTAAATTTGGCTCATATAAAGAGACATATGGGTTTAATCCCCCACTTCGGTACAACAATTTTGCACTGGTGTAACTTTGTTAGAGTTGCAAGGGTGTAGAGTTGGAATAACAATGTGGAGAATCAGACCCACATGTGTTTCATATCCCCTGGGAGTCATGGATCATGTGCTTCTCAGATCCGATGCACGCGGAGTGGCATGGAATATCCAGGGGACAGATCCTGTGTCGTGTTAGCTCTTGTGAGCCCATATATTATCACATATACGGTAGTGGATAAAATATGAACTTTTTAAGGGGAAGAAAAGTGATATAAATTTATGCAAAACCCACTGTTGGAGTAAGCAGTAAGTAATTTCAGCTCTGCCTGTGTTCTAGTATTTAAGCTGCAGAGTCAAGGCACTGGTCCAGTACTTAGGAATGGCTCACCTCTAAGAGAGGTGAGGGAACCCAGTATTGCTTTGCAGTGAGTACAGAGAAA